GCCCAAGCATGCCACTATCTATCTTTCATCACCCAACGAAATTGGGATGCAATTTTTTTTCCTGCTTTTTCTTGATTTTCAGAAAGAACCTTACCTTCTACTGTTGGAATCTTGGGCTACTGTTGTGGCTCTCCAGTGTGCCTACTCTTTATTAAAAATTAGTCTCTCCGCACGCGCTTTTGCGCATGCGAGAGGCTTATTTTAAAAAAATAAATAAATTTATTTTAAAAAAAGTTAAAAAGTATGAATTTACCATATTATTCTCATTTAATTAATAATTTCAATTCTTAATGTTTGCATTAACCAAGGGCATTTTCTGATATTTTGAATATTTCACCATTATTTGCCTTTTGCTTTATATATATAGATATATATAGATATAGATAATGAACTTTGCTTCTGATGTCTATACCAGACCCACTGAACCTGTTTTATGATTATACAAAGAACAAGCTCGTCCTTAGACTCCATTGGTTAAACTTAGAAAATAATGAAACAAAAATATACACACCCACAAGTAACAAAGCCAGGATTGAAAACAACTGGACAAAGAAAGGCATGTTAAAACAGAATTTTCAACAATGTATCACCATTAGACAAGAAAAAGAAAAATCAATAAAGAAATAGACAGAACAGAGAATAAATGTGGTGGAAGAAAAACGTTGAAGCCATTTGTGAATCCAACAACACTACCACTCTGTTTCTCTCCTTTTGTTCAGGCGGATCTGCATATATCCGAAGGCGTATTACGGAAACAACGTTGCCATATGGGTGGAGTAGATTTGTCCAATTCACCTTCACTATGGTTAATCAACTAGACAGACATAAGTCAGAAACAATACGTATATACGTCCAAATTGTTGTTATTTGAAAGGCTTCTAAATTTTAACATTTTCATTTTTAAATTTTGTTTTAATATTTCGGCTGTTTTCTTTTATTTGTTATGGGAATTGCAATTGTTTAATTTTCAGTTTTTATTTTCTGTTTATTGCCTTAATTTTTATGGTTTAATGTGTATGAATGTTATAAGTATTGGATGCCTATAAAAGACCAGTCCTCTGTCACAATTTGATTTCTTTATTCTCTTACTTTCATATATTCTCTACTTTCCATATTATTATTTTTGGGCAACGATTTTGTGACTTGGAGATTTCTATTCGATTGTGAACGTGCTCATAGCGGACCTTGAGCTTGCGTATTGGGGGTTGTATCTTGGAGTCTTGTAGACCTTCATTACTTACACATAGGGAGGCTACAAAGGTTTTAGATCAGCGTCTTTGACATGCTTTCACCATAACTAGCTTGCTTTCTTACTCTTGACTTATTTTGCTTATATTTCTTTGTTTCTGTATTTTTACTTTACTTTTAAAGTTTTGTTTTATATAATATTTATATTTAAAGGTTTCGAATAAGAGTTTTACATAAAAGGAAAAACTTAATTTTTAATAACATAAATTTCACTTTTTTATTCTAAAAAAAACATTGATTAGGGAGTTATGGTCAACTTAGTTTCGATGGTGGCGATGAGAGGAGGGAGGCTTCAATGGTGGCGAGGAGAGGAGGGAGGCTTCGATGGCAGTGAGGAGAGGACGGAGGCTTTGCTGCTGACGGGGTGGGGTGGGTGGGTGGAGACCTCGGCTGGCAGCTTGGTCCTGGGTTCTCCCTTAATTCTCTGTTTTTTTTTTTTTTTTCATTTTCTTTTTTCTAACCAACTATATACAGCTGCTGCTATAGCTGATTACATAAAGTAACAAATTAATTAATACTTGAGTGGAAAACAAACTTCAGTGGAGGAAAGTAATTAATCGAAGGTGGAATCTTACAAGACATAGCCCATCAGTTGGCTCATTTTTTCTTTGAGATGTGTAGTCCTAGCCTTGAGGCGAGGCCACATTGGTTTGGAGACTTCTTTCCACTTGGTGAAATTATAATTTAGAAGTAGCAGTCATATATTAGGTTGATTCGTGAATATATCGCTCTCTTTAAAGAGATCGAAGCAAACTGCTATTTGCAATTTGTGTGATTCAAGCATGAATATCTGATACTAGTAACTGTACCATTATTTGTTGGTTTGATGAGAAAAGTTTGGTTACCCAAACACACAAAGAACGCGGACAATTCCCAAGTCGATGAGAAAAGTTTGCGTTATTATTCAAACTTGGAATTTGCTGGTGATAGTTCATATTCTTTGTCCAACCAAAAAATGAGAAAAGTTATCTTGTACCATTTCTGCCAGTGTGATTCTGATACTAAGAACTATACCAATATTTGTTGGTTTTATGAGAAAAGTTTGGTTAGCGAGGACAATTCCCAAGTTTGAGAAAGTTCATAATCTTTGTCCAACCGAAAAATGAGAAAAGTTGTCTTGTACCATTTCTGCCAGTGTGGGTCCCGCCCAACCCATACAACAATTTCTCAAAAGCTTTTGCGTCCAACTTTGCCGAACCCATCCCCATGTGAGGCCATGGAAAAGTTTTCAGCCACAAACGAAGAAGGAACAGTCCTTGAAAGGGAGAGGGTTTTCCAAGGCCAAGATTACAAGTTCATGTTATTTACATTCTCAAAAAGCTTCCATACTTGTTTACAAACCTGTATTTCCAAGTTGTGCTAGCCTAGCTACTTGCAAATCTTGGAATATTTTACTTCATCCAAATCCCTTGCAGTCTGCAGAGAAGAGAAAAGACATGGCTTTGATCGGAGAGGCTCTTATCTCTGCTTCCGTCCAGGTGTTGTGCGACAGAATTACTTCACCCGAGTTCGTTGACTTATTTCGGCACAAGAAACTCGATGAGCCACTCCTCATGAAGCTGAAGACGACACTATTGACCTTATACGCAGTTCTCGATGACGCAGAGGAGAAGCAAATTCAGAAACCTGCTGTGAGGGATTGGCTCGACGAGCTCAAACATGCTGTCTTTGATGCAGAAGACTTACTGGATGAGATCGACACGGAAGCTTTACGATGCAAGTTCGAAGGTGAAGATCAAACTGGGAAATTTACCAACAAGGTGCGGAACTTGCTCTTTTCTTCTCGTAATCATTTTTATCAGAGCATGAATGATAAGATACAAGAGTTACTAGCAAGGTTAGAAAACTTTGTACAACTGAAAAGTGCTCTTGGTCTGGGAGAAGTTGTTGGGAGGAAGGTTTCTCAAAGAACTCAAACAACCTCCTTGGTTCTTGAACCTTATGTATATGGTAGAGATGAAGTCAAAGAAAAGTTATCGAAAGTGTTGCTATCTGATGATGCAGGAAAGGATGCTGTGTCTTTCCTCACCATTGTTGGAATGGGTGGGGTTGGCAAGACAACCCTTGCTCGAATGCTTTACAATGACGATAAGGTGAAAGGGAATTTTACACTTAAAGCTTGGGCTTGTGTTCCATACTGCGATGATTATATTAAAATTACTAAAACTCTCCTTGAGGCAGTCACTTCAAAGCCTTGTAACACGGCAAATCTGAATTTGCTTCAAGAAGATCTAAGAGAGCAACTGAGGGGAAGGAAATTTTTATTTGTGTTGGATGACCTATGGAATGAGAATAATGAGGATTTGAACTACCTTAGAGCCCTTTTTATTACTTTAGGAACAAGGGGAAGTAAAGTCATTATAACAACACGGAACAAAAATGTAGCATATGTCATGCAAAATGTTCATATTCAATACTTAGAACCATTGTCGCAAGAGGACTGCTGGTTATTACTTGCAAAACATGCATTTGGAAATGAAAAGTGTAGTGCACATTCAAACTTGGAAGACATTGGAAAGCAAATTGCACTCAAGTGCAAAGGGTTGCCTTTAGCTGCACAAACACTTGGGGGTTTGTTACATTGCAATATAGATTTCGAGTACTGGAATAGAATACTAAATGACGGTTTTTGGGACCAACCATATGATACAACTAACATTCTTCCGGCTCTAGGGTTGAGTTACCATTATCTTCCTACTCAGTTGAAACGATGCTTTACTTATTGTTCAATTTTTCCAAAGGATTATGAGATTGAAAAGGAAGATATAGTTCAATTCTGGATTGCAGAAGGTATAATTCCAAAAGCTGAGAATGGAAAAAGGATGGAAGCATTGGCTAGAAGATACTTTGATGAGCTGTTATCACGATCGTTGTTTCAAAAGTCAAGGAAATTCAGCTTCATTATGCATGATCTCATTAATGACTTGGCTATGTTCATGTCTCAGGGGTTTTGCCTTAGGCTCGAAGTTGGGGCATCTTGTGAAGTTAAAAGAGCTCGTCATTTGTCATATGCTAGGGGAAGATTTGACGCTGCTCCAAGATTTGAACCATTATATGAGGCTAAATGTTTGCGGACCTTCCTACCTACCTCTTTAAATCCATACATATATTGGAGAAAACAATTTGTAAGTAAAAAAGTTTTGCAAGATTTGTTGCCATCATTAAGATGTTTACGGGTGTTATCATTGTCACATTATCAAAATGTCACTGAGTTACCTGATTCTATTGCAAACCTTATTCACTTGCGCTACTTGGATATTTCCCATACCGCAATTGAAAGGTTACCTGGGGCACTTTGCAATCTCTACAACTTGCAGACATTACTATTGTCAAATTGTTCCTCACTCCTTGAATTTCCTGCAGACATTAGAAAATTGATTAATTTACAGAAATTGGCGTTGGGAGGTTGTAGTTCTCTAAATAAATTGCCTGCAGGCATGCAGGAGTTGGCTAATTTGCATCATCTTGATGTCAGTGGAACTAAAATTGAAGAGATGCCGGTGCAAATGGGTAGACTGAAAAGTTTGAGAAC